CAGAATTAAATGTATTATCTACTGTGTGGTTGCAAAAATGAAAAATCTAGCTCAAGGCCATCTTCAACTTCAATCTATAATCACTTATTTTAAAAAATAATTATGTGTCATCTTAAAAATAGTAAAACAAATTTGAAGACTTTCTGGTCTTTACAGCAACTGAGTCTCTAGCAAATATCTGGGGGTGGAAAGGACATTCTGCCAGCCAGCCTCTGAGCAGCTAGGAGGCTGTCCAGCTCTCTACAGAGCTGTCCTATCAGCTCTGAAGGGAAGAGCAAAGACCAGCTGCTGGCAACTGGACCCTGGTTCTTCAAAGCAGCATCTACAGCCCCATCAAGAATACTTTGTACCTGTGTGTATAAGTGGTTAATATAGTCTCTAGTGCCGTGGGTGTGATCTTGAAATAGTTTCTTCCACTAAATSTTACTCTAACTGAGTCAAAAGAACAGAGAATAGAAAGCTGTGTGAAAGCATACATCACCCCGCTTTTCTACTTCCCACAGGAAAATTGCTTTTAATTTTTCTCAGCTTCAACAGGTATAAGAATACCTAACCATTCATTGCAATCCATGTCTACACCATTCCTGTGACACACAGATAATGTGAGAACCAATAAGTAAGACAACCATCTGACCAGTCCAGCATCAGCAAGGGAGCCCCTTCCTATGGGCCCTCTGGACTCCGAACACTAGGCCCTCTGGCAGCAGTTTTGTGGAAGGAGTTGAAATGTGGGGCACTGAGCACCTAGGATCAGAACTGTTCAAGCACACAAGTCCTCCCTGCCTCGGACTCCCTAGTACCCTTTCACATCTTCTCTCTCCTGCAATGTCCTAAACCTGTGTGAACAGGGGTGGACTCCAAAAAGCTCCAGTCGCTGTTTCCTTTGGCTTTTCAATGGCCAAAAACGTAATGGGGATGGAAAAAAAAGAGTCCATACAATGAAATGCCAATGACTCTTGACAGTAACAGGGTCACTGGTGACAGATAGTGGTGGAAGAGGCAAGCTGTGGCATGAAAGTAACAGTTAGTTGAAAACAGTGTGCCGGATTTGAGGAAATTCTCAGATACATATTACACTGTAAGTGTAGACTCTACACCCTAATACCTTCTTTAAAATACACCTCTACATAAATCAGTCAATAACCTGAAGGTCCCAGTTCAGTAAAGAATTACTATGAGCTACATATGCAAATGCACATAATTTAAACCTAACACAAACACCAGGTCTCTCTAAATTCTTTCCTACTTAATCTGCCTGATTGCTGTGAAGCCCAACAATAACACCAATCCCCTGATGACATTATATAGAAATAAGCCATTAATGCCAGTGCCAAAGTGAGCCATCGGCACCTCGGGTTTACTGTGATCGAGTGAACCACGAGTACTAGGAGAACGGCACACGTGGGACAACACTGTCCACTGCAGCACAGAGCGCAGCACTCACCGCGATTCTCAGCCCCTGCTCAGTTTTCCACCCAAACACCACCGAACCTTCTGCCCCAAACCAACAGTCCTTCCAGCCCCTATTTTCAATAACACAAACATTTCCCCAGTCACTCAAGTTCAAAGCTATAGATCATTAAAATCACCAAGGGAAGATTCATCCTTATCTTGTAAAAACTTCTCGCATTCATTCATCCTTCCATCCCCCAATTCCTACCAGCCTAGTTCAAGAAATTAGTCATTAAACTTAAATTTCCCAGGGCTAGGGGTACAGCTCAGCAGTAGAACATTTATCTAGCATTATCATGTCCAAGGCCCTGGATTCAACCCCTAGCACTGGGGAGAAAAATTAAGTTTCCCAATGGGGTCTCCTTGATGWCCCCTCAAACAAATTCACATTCCAAGCCATTACTGTGAACAAGTCATCCAAGCCTTGACAAACCACCTACAGATCTCACAGTGTAGCCAACACAAACCTGTTCTCACGAACTTGGACAAGCACCAAGCGCCTTACACAAGAAGTTTCTGGACACTCAGGCTCGGGACTAAGGGCTCTGGATATCAGTAAATTCTCTGTGTTTGCAACTTTCTGCTATCCCTTCTTTCTCCATGGTGATCAACGATTAAATCTTTGAAAAGAAAAGGGCTTATGGCTCATTTTCACTGACAAGCAGAAAGAGCTGGTGGACTACATCCTATACTACAGCCAGCTCTCAAGGGGAATGAAACCTGAAGTCGAAGAAAACGGATAAATGGAAGCAATGTTGGAAGGAATAAAAAGATAAAGAAAAGAAAATAAACTCCATGGGCCTATGGTTACACAGGGACAAAGGCCAAGATGGTAAATGCGCCCAGGGGAGTTTCATTTTGAAAGACTACGCTGAAATCCAAATATTTTATGCTACGTTAAAGATATTTCCATCCCCCAATAGGTAAGAGAGAGCACGCTTATAAAAGGAAGCTAACAGACATTTGCTCTACTAAGAACATGAACCAAGCACAAGAGTTCTGAGGACCAAACAGCAACAACTTGGGCATTGGAAAAAGCCAGGATTTGAACTGTAGCTCAAAGGAGTGTCCAGGAAATAAGTCAACCAGTTTGGCTGATGTTGAGAAACCAAGATATAAAAGAGCAGTACACACTATCCCAGAATTACAATCCACTTTTCACACTGAGAGGAAGAGGGGGCACCCAGGATATCTCATGTTCCTATCTAAATAGCCAAGCCAGAAGCCAGGAACCAGCACAATTTATTAATCTACTAGCAAAGTAGCAGTCACATTCTAAGAATGCAGAAAATGTTGGTAACAGTTTTACTATATTTAATCTCAGAATAGTGAATACTGAGGTACACTGATTCCAGACTTTGTACATACCTGTATTAAAAACAGCAAAACTTCCTTAAAAGAAATAAAGATCCACAAATCAAAACTTATCCACAGATCAAAAATTATCAAGCAACCAGACACTCTTACACAAACACTATTCAGAACTGTTTAATATATCTTTCAAAACAGGAAGGTCTCAGAATTGAACATTTGAAAAATTTTTAACTGCTGACACTCTTAAAAGGAAGGGGCAAAAAAGTGGAAAGTCGGAGGAAGTGATAAGCTGTTTTAAAACAATTTTACAATCAGTTTTTAAACAGTAATCCCGCTGGGAAATGAAAATTCCTCTCCTAATCCCTTTGASAGCAATATAATATTTGAATCAGGAACAAGAACACTTTGCTTCTACAAAGTTCAAATGTGAACCTTTTGCAGTATCCTTTACATTAAATAGCAAGTAGAGGGGAAAACAATTTCTGATTTAACCAAAAAAAAAAAAAAAAGAGGTGGCAGGACTTCGGATTTATAATATACCTTTTCTAAAAACATATATAAGAGACTTCAGTAAAATGCAATTAGGGAACTTCAAGGTTTTGGTTGACAGTGATTACTTAACTGGAGCTTATTCCTGTAAAACGAAACTACCAGAACCCCTCAATATCAATTTGCTTGTCACTAAACCACAACTTTATGCTTAAACTTGGAAATGCTAACAGGATGGAACCACAAGCCTTTAATAAAATGTGATGACCATGGAGAGCGCCCTTGAAGCTTAGCAACAAAGGACTCAACCCTAAAGGATTCCCCTCTGGAAAGTGAGGGCAGATTTGACATATACCCCAGCAGAAGTCCTAAAGCGCATGACTGCATTTTCCATAAAAGGTGGGAGTAGTAATAGTAGCATATAGCAGACACCAACCCACTAGAAGCAGATGGAACCCACCAACTCATTTTACCCAGACCTTCAAAAAGGTACACAGATCTGTCTCTCCTTGCCAAACAGGGCTGATCTGAATGGGTGAATCTAAGAAAAGGTTCACTCGGGATTACTAATTGGTGATTTCATTTGTGTACGCTAGCCTCAATGTAAAACAGGACCTGAAAAATGAAAAGCAATTTGAAAGCTGGTTTTCTATACTCAGTCTCCTCCCCCCCCATACTCACTCACACACACACACACACACACACACACACACACACACACAGTCCAAAACCTTTATTTTACAAAAGAAAAATGACTCAGTAACCTTTTCCAGCACAAGAGCTCTTCCAGAAGGGAAATCTAGATGGAAACATTCCAGGCTTATGTACATAATTCACCAGGGGTCAGGTAAGATTCCATTTTGTAAGAGCTGAACTTTAAACAGAAAGTCACTAGTGGTGCAACATTCACCCATTAGCATAAAGTTACCCCCTAGAATGAAAAGCACTGGCTCCCTCTGCCAAGATGACAACTTTACAGTGAGAAGSCGAGCCCCGGACCATGAACTCCTGGAAAGTTCTATCAGGGCCTCAGAAGAGCTACCACCTCTACTAGCCTAAACTTAGCTGTCACCTCAGCCCTCCCTCCCCAAAGACAGGGCATYCTTAAAACCGGAAATTTTTTTTTTTAAATAAAATTAAAAGATGGGCCAAAGGGTCAAAAGTAGGCAATGCCTTTCAGGGCTGACACGATTCCTGTCTRGGATTGGGGGAGGGGAGGAGCATTCTGGATGTTTCTATTCTTGGCAAGGAAAGCACCTCCAGGTCCTAAACCATAGAAAGACACCAACGCAGTTATGTTTTCAGGGAATGAATGATAGGACCGTGCTAAGGGATCTCGGAGTATGATGGTGGGGACAAAGGTGTGGAGGGCTGGAGGGGGGCTCAGGGGACAGAAGGTGGGACTAAGGGGAGGGCCCAAGCGATGGATAAAGGGGGCTCAGGGAAGGTGTGGACGGTTAGGAGGGAGGGGAGGGAGGTGTGGATGACTAAGGAAGGTGAGGGGAGGCTGTGGATGGCTCAGAGGAGGTCCACAAGGCTGGACGGCTAGAGAGGGCTGGGGGGAGGTATGGATGGCTGCGGGATGGGGGTCTGGGCCACAGTCTCTCCCCCCGCCCCGCGTGGAGCAGCAGCCGAGGCAGGCCGTGGGGGTGGCCTCTCTGGGGCTCCCCCACCCTCTCTGTGGGCGTGTGCCCGGCTGCGCGTGTGCACGGGCCAGGCCAGCAGGCCGCAGGGCCAGTACTCACCCCACGACTCCCTGGTTGTAGTTCCTCCGCTTCCACGGGGTCCCGCTGTACACGCCCCCGCCGCCGTCCACCCGGCCGCCCCCCGCGGCCCGCCCTCCACTGGGCTGCAGCAGGCTGTAGTTGAGTCCGTAGGTGCTGGCCTTGTTGTCGCGCTTCCTCTTGTTGCTGCTGCCCGAGGCCGGGTCCGCGGGCTCGGCGGCAGGGACGGCGGCCGAGGGGTGCGGGGACGAGGACGCCGAGGGGGACGAGGACGCCGAGGGGCCCGCGGCAGCCCGGCGGGCCCAGGCCGCCGGCTGGTGGTGGTTGTTGTTGTTGTTGGTCGTCTCTAGGGGCAGGAAGTCCCGCTGCTCCGCGGGCAGCGCGTGGCCGCCCAGCAGGCGCTCCCCGGAGCGGTACATGCCGGCCGGGGCCGGAGCCGGGGCCGCGCCGCCGGGGCTGCCGGTGCTGCTGCCGCTCCCGCCGGTGGCCGTGCTGCTGCCGCCGCCGCCGCCGCTCGCGCCGCCGCTGCTGTGACAGTGGTGGTTGAAGTAGAGGTTCCTCAGCCCCTGGGTCGTCTCCCAGATCTGCATCCACAGACTGTTGGACGGTCCGAGCTGCTCTGGCTGGAACCAGGCGATCCTCGGATCCATCAAACGGCGGCGGCCGCTGCCCCCGCCCCTCCTGGCCGCCCGCAGGGCCGCCGCCGCCGCCGCCGCCGCCTCAGGCGCACGCCCGGCCTCGGCTGCCGCTGCTGCTGCCGCTGCTGCCGCTGCTGCTGCTCGGGGCCCGCCGCGGGCGGCGCGGTCGCGCAGGGAGCCGGGACGGCGCCGGCGGCGTCGCTCCCGCCCTCGGGGGCTCCGCGGGCCCTCCCCCCCTCCCTCCGCCCCTCCGCCGAGCCCCTGTCACTGGGGTCCCCGTGCAAATGGCGGCGGTGGCGGCAGCTCCGGAGAAGGGCGAGCGACGGCGGCAGCGGCGGCGGCAGCGGCGGCGGGACGCGCCTGCTCGGTAGCGTCCTCGCTCCTCCGGCCCCGGGGCGGGGCCTCCGCCGGCTCCGCCCCGCTCGCTCCGCCCCGCCCCGCCCGCCGCCCGCGCTCGCCCCGCCCCCGCCGCCCGCCAGCCCCGCACCCCCGGGGCCGCGCCGTGCGTCACAGAGGCCGCGGCGCGGCGCGACGGGGGCCGCAACTGCCCTGGCCAACCGTCCCCGAGCCGGCCGCGGCGGGGGCCAGCGTACCTGGCGTCCGGGCCCCTCCGAGGCGCGCGCTACCGCCCGGCCTCCGCTTCCTGGTCGCTGAGACTGGGGAGGCCGCGCGAGGTCGCCGCCGGCTCCTCTGGGGAAGGGACTCTGGGAGGCGYCGCCCCGCCCCGGTCCCCTCCCCCACCCCGCGGCCTCGGGGACTCCGGGGGTCTGCCGGCAACTCACCCCCAGCTCGTTTCCTAAAACACTTTTTCCGGTGGCGTGGGGACACACCCCCAAGGGGGAGGACAAATTGCCGCCACTCGCCCTCCCGGCCCGCGTGGCCGCAGTGTGCCCGCGAGCCGCGCCGGTTCCCGGAGGCTCCCYGCGCCCCGCCCTGCTGCGCGCTGGCCAGGGTGCGTGAGCCGCAGGCCTGGGCCGAGGATGGATCCCCTCACCCCACCCGAGACGGAGAAACCGGCTCCCAAACGCAAAGGTGGACGGACGCACATCTTCGTTCCGGTTGGGGGAGGTCACGAACCTTAAGTGAAAACCCCCKTTACACATGTGCGCGCACAGATGCACCGGCACATGACTGCTCAGCCTGTGAAGAAACTGGAGCTGCCCTGGGTGCACCAACAGCCTGAGAAAATCCTTCCAGTTCAGTTTCTTAACGGAAATCTTACACTCAAACGGTTTCCAAAACCTTTGAATCCTAAAATGAAGACCATATTATATATATCCTCATTTAGAGACTTTTCCGAAAGGAAAAATCCGTGTAGGGCAAAAAAAAGAGAAAAGGAATTTTTTTTTTCCAAACTGGGAATTTAACGCTGGTGCACTTTACCACCGAGCTACATCCCATCCCTTTTCGTTTTATTTTTTAAAAATTTGAGACAGGGTCTCACTAAGTTGCTTAGGGCCTCGCTAAGTTGCTGAGACTGGCCTCAAAGTTGAGATGCTTCAGTCTCCAAAATCCCTAGTATTACAGACTTGGCGCCACCACACCCTGCAGAAAAAGAGAATTTTCAGTATTTCCAGTTCATCATGAGGAAAAAAGAATAAGCGCATCCAATGTGTGACCTTTAAGGTTGGTGCAAATTACAGAACAAGTCCCTGACACCTGATTTCAGCCTTCTGTTTTGGGAGCTCAATATCCTGGAAAGTGTTTTTGGCAAAGAATGAAAAACTATTTATCAAAGAATGAAGCATCGCTCTACCCTTTTTCTTGCTAAAAGAATATCATGGCCATAAATACAAACATACACAAGAAAGACTTTCAGAATGCTGGTTCGTTTTATTTGTTGTTATTGCTTTGCTAGAAATTAGTATTAAAAGTTTGCTCAGAGTGAAATTTGCTATATGCTAAGATTTACATAAGCCAGGAAAATAAGTAATGATTATTTTTTATGCCATTCACATTAGTGAACAAAAATAAAACGTGGTATACAAATAGATTTCATTTGATGCCTTCAAATTTGTTTAAATTTTTAAATAAAAAACTGAGAGTAAAGTACTTGCCTAGCATTCACCAGGCCCTGGGTTCAATTCCTATCACCTATAAAAGAAAATTAAAAAAAAAAAAAGCAAGCCAAGCCAGGTGCAGTAGTGCACCCCTATAATCCTAGCAGCTCTGGAGGTTGAGGCAGGAGGATTGTGAGTTTAAAGCCAGCATCAGCAAATTAGCAAGACCCTAAGCAACTCAGTGAGACCCTGTCTCTAAGTACTAAAAAAGGGCTGGGAGTTTGGCTCAGTGATTAAGCACCCTGGTTTCAACCCCCCCCCCCCCCCGCCCAGCAAAATAAAACCAAGAAAACAATCATTACCAAAAGTCCCACTATCCAGAAATACCCATTCTGAAGACTTTGTTAAACACTCTTCTAAATATTCACTTCATGCACATACAAATGTCAAAATACAGGTACATCATTTCTCCAAATGTCCAAGAATACATTATATGCCACTAAAACAGAGTGTTCAAGATTATTCATAGTACATGCCAGAAATTGGCATTTGTTATATTTAAGGGCATTATTAAGAACTACCAAAGTTTGGCARAACAATCGAATGAGGTCTAAGGGGTATAGCATCTGGTAGAGTGCTTGCCCAGTATGGACCAGACCCTGGAGTCCGTCCCCAGAACCGCCCTCCACAAAGATCAAAGGAGATAACCTATATAAAAGTACTTTGTAAACTAAAATGTGGCCTGAAAGGCAAGACTTAACTGTATTTTCATTCAGCAGCAGGAGAAGCTGACTCGTTAACTCTCCCTGTAACTTAGCCATGTTTCAAGGTATTCAGCAAATTTTGGTTGAATGAATATCATCCATGCCAGGCTGAGCTAATTGCTTTAGAGGAGGTAAATAATCAACTGGGGCATTTGGCTGCATTCCATRAATTTACTGTCTGGTTGGGGAGGCAAAAAGAGGTAAATATTTAATCTGAAATTGTACTAATTCAATTAATTCAACAAATATGTCTTGAGCAATTATTATATGCCAGATTCTGAGGATATAGCAATGAGCAATCCTGATAAGTTCCTGCCTTCAAGAACCTTGTATTCCAGTGTGTAAGGTGAGAGTATAAAGTCAGACAGTGATGAACGCTGTGAGAAAAGGAAAGCAGGCTAAAGGGATAGTGACCATAGGCTATTTTTAGGAGGGCTAATCAAGGAAGGCTGCTCTGAGGAAGTGATATTTGAGCAGGGATTTAAGCAAGGGAAGAGCCTTTACCATCTAAGGAATGATCTATTAGAGGGGGTAGCAAGTCCAAAGGCCCTGRGGCAGGAATATGCTTTGTGTGCAAAATGATACAGCAGTATGGTTGAGTGTTGACTTGTKTCATGGTATAGAATCACAAAGTAAATATTCTGGAAGCTTCTTTAACAATCCAACCCGAAGGAAAACACATGGGTAATTTCATATACAAAAATATATTCACTTTCCCCAGCCAATCTGCAGTGCTCTGCCTTGGGGTAATCTACTGCCGCCTCCAAGGAGCTAGACTACACTAATTTCAGTAATCAACTTTAATTACTCAACTTTTTTCCTATCACTATTTTAAACAAAAAAAAAACAGACATTTATTACATTTTTTCAGAACCATCTGCATTAAACTGATGAGTCAAAAACAATAGCACTTTCTCCCATAATCTGGTGCCCTATTCATTCTCAATATTCTTGTTTCYGAAGGGGAAAATGTTGAATTGATGGTCTTAACTTGGAGATTTRCTGAAACACCAAAGTTCTCTAGGGAAAAATAAATGGGTGGAGAAATGGAAAGAAAATTATCCAAGAATCACAAAAATTTAAATGTTTTTATTGATTTATTAAATTGAATAAAAAGAAAGGGAATTGTATATACAAACTACCATATGGTAGTAATATCATTAATAATTGTCATTGTAACTAAGTCTTCAACAGTGTGTGATTAAATTAGTCCACTCTGGAGTTTATGATTACCATGACCAATAGTTACATGRTAATTACACCTTCAGTATTTAGGTTATGAAGCATTTGCTTCAGGTATTAATAATCTTGGACATAGGCCCCATTTGCAAACTTTCCCCTTTTTGCCCAAAATATACATCTTTACACCATGTTATTTTCATATATGCATAGAGGATTCCAACTATAGAAATCTTTTCAATGAGCCTTTGAAATCATAAGCAAAGTTGAAGATTGTGTTGTTTTTTTTTTCTTCCATTTCCACTGTCCTACAAACAAAATCGTTCAGGTTGTATGCCTCTCTGAGGTCTTTGGTGTGTGTATATATGTGAGTGATGATTAATTTTATGTGTCAACTTGACTGGGACGCAGGGTGCTCAGATTAAACATGATTTCTGGGTGTGCCTGGCCGGCTGCTTCTGAATGAGATTAGCGTTTGAATCAGTGACTGAGTAAAGCAGGTGGGCATCACCCAATCCCAACAACCAATTCACAGAGGGTCTGAAGAGAATAAGCTGAAGAAGGGGAAATTTGCTCTCTACCTGAATGCTTGAGCTGAGACATCAGACTTCTCCTGCTCTGGACTGGGACTTATCTCATCAGCCCTGAGATTCACAGGAATAACAACCAGCTTTCCTGGGTCTCCAGCCTGCAGGTGGCAGATTGGGAGATTCTCGGCCTCTACAAGTGCGTGAGCCAGTTCCATCGTAAACCTTTAATATTTAATAAATATTCTTTTTTTAATATATTTTTTTAATTTTTTAGTACTTATTTTTTTTTTTAGTTTTCGGCAGACACAACATCTCTGTTTGTATGTGGTGTTGAGGATCAAACCCAGGGCGCACGCATGCCAGGTGAGCCAGCTACCGCTTGAGCCACATCCCAGCCCCTAATAAATATTTTTTAATAAAGGTTATATTCCTGGAATATATTCTATTATGCCTTTCTGGAGAACCCTAATAGATTTTGGTCCTGAGAGTGGTTCTGGAGGAGCAGAATGTTATGGATGAGTTTTTTACATTGGTTTCGGTGTTTTGGGAATTAGCTTTCTAATCCGATTAGATATAAAGATGCTAACATCTCTATTTCTAGTGGCAAGGAGAGCTCTGATAGTCCATGGAGTGATCTGGCAATAAAGAATCAAAGAATGTCTGCTTTGGAT